CAAAACCAGTTTTAACAGAACGGTTCTGACTTTATTTTTTAAAAAATAAAAAATATGCATAGTAATGTAATGCTAAGATGTACCCCCTACGGATTTCTTGGCAAACTTCTTTGAGTCTTGCTATTGTTTTATAATCCCTGTGAACAGCACTGCACTTAAAACTGGTGTTAGAGGAATTCTGAACAGTTACTTTTAGTAGAAATTATCTACTGGTACTGTCATGACCTTCAGAATTAATCATGAACTCTTTAGACTGTTTGATTTGTGTACTCATCCTCAAATTGCTTTGGAAAACTTGGTAGATAAAACACAAACTTTTGGTTGGTGTGTGACAAATTCCCTGTATCTTCAAAACTCCCCTTAGAAATGAACTGCAAGTTGAAAATATTATTCTGGAAACATCAGAATGTGAAAGGAATTTTTTTTTCCTTGTTCAGTTTTTTTCAGTTTAACTTACTTCTACTACGGAAGAAAAAGCAGTGGAGCAATGCTTTCTGGTATGCATGGAACATGCTGCCATTCTGAAATTTTATTTTAAGGGGAACTTTTTAGTACCAGCTCTTCATCGTACCTCATGGTTGTATTGGTCTCTAGCATGAAAACAATGTAAATATATTATTTTAGTAATAGTGGATAAGAAAATGTCCTTTTTCTGGAACAAGAGCTTTCTGCAGGTGGAATCACAGAATTGCCCAGATTGGAAAAGACCTTTTAGATGAAGTCCACCCATCAACCTAACACTGACGAATCCTCAACTAAATCTAAACACTCTGTCTACCAGACTCTTAAGTACCTCCAGGGATGGGGACTTCACCACTGCCCTGGGCAACCCGTTCGAATGCCTGATAACCCTTTCAGTAAAGAAATGCTTCCTAATATCCCACCTAAACCTCCCTTGGGGCAACTTGAGGCCATTTCCTCTTGTCCTATTGCTTTTTGCTTGGAATGCGTGTGGGCAGTTACTTCACTGGGGTGACAATTGCTGGAGATGTATTTACAGAAGTATAAGGCAGTTGATAAATAACATGGTAATAGTCAAACTAATGTGTTTGTACAGTATCACCGCAGTTCTTTCATTAAACGCATGCTGCTACCATTGTGTTACCATTCATGATAATCACAGTATATGCTGATGACTTCCTTATTTACATATTTAGAGTTTAATGTTGTAATGGGTTTATAAAATCGCTCTTCAGTACATTATTCCTTCACTCCGAAGTGCCCATTTAGTGTTGTACTGGGCCTTATACCAAATTACTGAAGTACTGCAAGTCAGTGAATGACAGAACTGCAGCAGGTAAGGTAGTAACTGTGCACGGAAACTGCAGCTCCAGTTCTCACCCATGTCGGCAATCTCATTCGCGTTAATTGAATTACCCCAGTGAGCAGTGCCTTTTTTTATAAGGGAAGACTTGCAGGATTGGGGTTTTATTTCATGTTGCTTGGTTTGTGTAATTATAAAGCCAGAAAATGCTTTGCGGTTAAACCATGCTGACGTTGAAAGATACACCTTGCAGATCTAGTTGGAACGTTCTTTATCTGTTACTCCCAATCAAAAGCAGGTTGCAGAATTTAGATGGCATAGCAATATTAATTGTCCCTAATCTGTTTCACTGCAAAGTCAAATGTTTTAATTTAAATTACTCTGAAAGTGGTACTGCTGAAAGGCACTAACTTAACGGGTGAAGACAATTATTGGCTTCAGTAATTTCTTAAACCACTGCAACTTGATCTGCAGGAGTAAATCAATCTGTGCTGTGACAGGGAGAATAAAATCAGAACAGGCGGGCAAGAAATTACATATCATCTCTTGTGCAATGAAAAGAATGCAGATGAATTGCAGGTGTATTTGAAACAGCCGCTAAGCTGTTGGGAACTAAAATTGCATTAACTATAAAAATTATTTTAGAGGGAACTCTTGAACATCTACCTTACAGAAATACTATCCTTGGTTAGCCTAAATTCTGAAAGGGCCGAATTATGCCAAGATTAGGCAAACCAGCATATTCTGTACGTGGAGTTCAAAAGTGTGTGGTTTTTCTCTGGAAGTTCTTAGGTGAGGGCTACAGGTACACAGATATCAGTACGTACCTATAAGTCATCCCATTCTACTTCCATCCTTCTTGAGGTTGTTCGCAATCTCGAGAGAATATACTGTTACTCAGAAACTGGGTTGAAAAGTACAGAATTTTCTTTTTCTCAGCCGAGAACAAATCCGTATCTGAGTACACGTGAGCCGGCATCACCAGATGTAAAAGCATATGAAATATCTTACAGTTCATTCTGTATTAAATGCCGCATACCACAAGGAAAGTTATTACTGCATAGACTATTTCTTTTCTTTTTTCTTCTTCATAAAGTGGAAGAAAGCATAATAAATATCAGCTGTCTTGGAAATGTGTGACTAATTTCCTAATAGAGATTATCTGGCAATATGGTGGGAAATTGGGGCACTAAGAGAGGTTACAAGTTTACCCTTCCTGCCAGGAAAAATCTCTTTGCTTTAGCTTTGCATTGAAAAGTATCAGTGTTTTGTTGTTCTCCTGTGCTGTATTTATGCACTGCTCTTTAGACCTGTAAGCCAAATTTCAGTGCATTGAGTAGTAGTTTTTATGTTTACTTCCAAAGAGCAAATCACATCTTGTAATGTTAAAGAAAGGTATTGCTATGTGTGTGTCTCTCTGTTAGATTTGCACCAATTGTTGGCTGAAATTCACCAGACTATCTAGGTAAAAATTTCTTGCCAGTGTAAGTCTCTCTGTTAAAAATAGCCAGTTTTCTTTGCTCTTAACAAAGGTTACGTAATTTTGTTAGTGCAAAACTTGAGGGAAAATTAAGGCAAGTGTTCTTGGTTTCCCTTCTCTGAACAAGAGGTATAAAGTGATCTGGTTCTCAGCAGATGGTTGCTTGCAAATTTCTTACCTGCTTTTTTCTTGGGAAACAAAAAAAACCCATGAGGACAATGTGGTTCAAAGAAAGAGGTTTTCTTAAGAAGCAAAGGAAAATCTCATGCTGGAAATAGAGATCTATATATTTATTTGTTCCTTCACTCTGATCCAGTTCTAGGAGTCTTACTTAATTTTTAGTGAACAATTTAATGTAAAAGCGCAAGAAATTTTGTACCTTTTATGAAGGATTACTAAATCAAATATAATTTTACTACTGAGTTTTCAAACAATGTGGATTGTTTGCAATGGAAAGGTATTCTTTTCTTGTCTCCATCACTTAAATATTACGGAATTTTATGTTCTTAAAGAACTTTTTTGTTTTTTTTTTTCTTTTTTGCAGCTACTCTTCGTGTTCTACACGAATACTCATCAGTCGTTCTGGAGATGGACTTGCTGTCTGGAACCTACCTCTTGGCAGTCTTATTAGCCTGTATTGTATTTCAATCTGGCGCGCAGGAGAAGAATTATACCGTGCGGGAAGAACTGCCTGAAAATGTCCTCATTGGCAATTTGCTCAAGGATCTTAATCTGACGCTGGATCCAGATGTGCCCCTTTCGTCACCGCTGCAGTTCAAGCTTGTGTATAAGACCGGGGATGTACCGTTAGTGCGGGTGGAGGAGAACACTGGTGAGATATTCACAACTGCAAACCGCATAGACCGAGAGAAGCTGTGCTCTGGCATCTTTACAGAGAATCGCTGCTTTTATGAGGTGGAGGTTGCTGTTTTGCCTGATGAAGTTTTCAGACTGGTCAAGATCAGATTCCTGATAGAGGATATAAATGACAATGCCCCTCTCTTCCCCTCAACAGTTATTAACATCTCTATCCCTGAAAACACAGCGATTAATTCTCGCTATTCTGTCCCGTCTGCAATCGATCCGGACATCGGCGTGAATGGCATTCAACATTATGAACTCCTTAAGGTGGGTTTTTTCTGTTCTTCTGTTTTCCTATCTGTGTCTTGTCTTCCCACAAATTTTGCCAGTCCTCATCAACCATTCAGGAGTGTGAAGCTGTGTACCACAGCAGTGGTACGCTGCAGGTGCCTGTCCCGAAATGTTCATCTGTACATGCCCTGGAGCGCGTTCTAGTGCATGTTCTCTTCACTTTGTTGAAAGCTGCTCATGTATGTGTATGTCAGTGTCACAATATGACCAAACACGCATGCCTTCACAAACTCTCCACCAGCATCAGATGTTTCTGCGCTTTGGCCATCAGTCTTCTTAGGCCGTTAAGGGTGTGTTCTTATTGTCAGCAGCGTGACAGCACCGAGTGCAACAGTATTTTGCATTAGGTCTCTGTCTCCTTCTTGCCTGACTACTTGATTTGAGCAGTAAGACGTGGCCCAGAACCTGATGTGATGTGATGTTTGTGTGTGTGCTGGTGTGCCAATAGTCCAGCTGTCAAAGCAGCTTTACTGTTTGGGCGGGCATAATGTCCAGGCAGGAGAAAGCCCAAGATATTCATGTACAGCAGTGCCACGCGGCCTTGTAAGAGCATATTCTCACCTCTTTGAATCTTTCCAGCAAATAAGGGAACTGCAATTAGGGAATGAAGGCATAGCGTGTAAAAATGTGATGTGTAAGGGAGCGATAGCTAACTAAAGGATTAATTTTGTTTAAGTAGAGAGTTTAGAATGAAAGAACTTATCCTAAAACTGTTGGGTTATTATGTGGGAAGCTGAAAATGTCTGCAGTTGCGTTGATTTGGAATAGGGAGCTATTGGGTAGTTTGCTCAGCAACCAGTGTGACACAGCACACTATACAAGCTAATATATTGCTTGATTGACTTGACAGCTAATATTAACTGATATCAGTACTTAGTAGCAATTTAACAGAAATAAATTACTGCCTTATTTTAGCTCTTCGAAATAGCTTACAGCCTGAAGTAGTTGTGGCAGTGTGGGTACTAACTACTGACAAAGACATAAAAATCTCCTCTGGAAAACTGCGTCTGACTGGACACTTCTGGTTAGCTGTCTAAAAACCCCAATGTACAAAGTTTGAGGTCTCTGTAGTAAACTCTTTAAACTTCTAAATTCTGGGGTTATACTGAGAGCACACGGATCTATCTCTGTGTGGGGTTTTTTTATATATTTTTTTTGTATTTAAAAAGATAGCTAACAGGACTGTCCAGCAGGATGCAATTGTCTTTATTTGGCATTTGATATGAGGATCTGGGGGATGAATAGCAGCATATTAGATAAATAACAGTAGGAGTGGAAAATAATAAAGTTTAGACTACGGACAAAACAGGCAAAATAATACATGGTCTGAATAGAGAAGTGTCAGTTAATATATCTGAGAGAAATGTGCTGTTACTCTAGGAAAAGGAAGCGAAAAAAATCAAACCCAGCAAAATGAGGAGTCCGTAGGATAGAGTCAGTTCAGCTCACCACAATAGCAGTCTTGTGAGTTATTTTTGGACTGTGTGTTCAGAAACAGAATGTAACAGATCAGCAGAACGATAGCATATTTGTGTCACACAAGTGAGAGCTCATCTCAAATACAGGCCACAGCTCTGTACCAAAAGTAGTGTAGGGCATAAGGCCTTGTCTAAAGATCTGATGGGAAATAAAATAGTCTGCAAGAAAGACATGTTTCACCAAGAGATGTGCAAATAACTTTGAGGG